CCCAACGTGGGTGTACATAGAAACCGGCACAAGTAACTTTTTTGTGCGTACGCACCGTTTATACRTGAGGCCCCTGATGATAAAGTTGAATAAAAATCTAAGTCTGATTATGAAGGTAAATTAAATATCTGACAGTGATCATTACACAGTGTGGCTCTAATTCCTCCCTTCACCATCTGTGTTGCAGCTTCCCGTCTCCAAAATGAGCGTACGCATGGGTCAGAGCTGGCGTGAGGGACCGCACATTTTCACATCAAGTTTGAATTTTATAAATCACAACCTTGGCGTGAAAAGTGGCGTATGCAAGTTTCTGGGGTCATTTTGTGCGTACGCAAGTTTTATAAATCCGACCCCTGATGTCTCATTTTTGACCCACTGCCTGCCTCTCGATAGAAACGGTATGAAGTTGGCCTACGGTAGAAATTTATACTCTACCGTCCTATCGTCATTACGTCATCGCACCTGTCACACCATCGCATGGCTGCGAGTGCAGAGACAACTGAGCAGGAGTTCGAAATATAATGAAGAAATTATAGTGTTTTAAAACACGTATAGATAGGATAAATCCTCAAAATTTCCTCCTCCCGCTGTAGAAAAGTTACGTCGTGTCGCGGGCTCATTTCCTCCTCCCGCTCCTCTCGCTGCACGTTGCGCAGAGCAAAGCTTTAACAGCTGTAGTTTTTCACACCCAATTGTCGGAGAAAAAACTTGTTTTTTATTTATTGTTACCCACAGAGATTATTTTAAAAAAAAGACGTGGACATTCGTTCAGTTGTAAATTCATCTTGCTAATATAAAGTTGGCTTCCGCTCTGACGATGATGATGATGAAGATGAGTGAGCAGCAGAGCAGCAGCTGATAAGTTCAGCAGTCAGAAGCTCATTGTTTGGCAGGTAGATATTAAAGCAAAAACGTTGAGTTTAATTAAGATTACAGTTTTCTGCAAAAAATGCTCTAAAAATAACATTATCTTAACTTTTTATGATAATTCTCTACCGTGATATATACCGTTACCGTGAAGGGGTTCAATTTATACCCTGATATGAATTTGAGGTCATACCACCCAGCCCTAATCTCAATAGGTTTTGTGGGGTTAATTAAAAAACAAATAATTTATTTTTTATGTCTGTCCACTAAGAATGCACAATCATCTTTTCGGTGGAAAAAGAGATTTTGTGAAAATCCAAATACATCTCATCAATAAACATCCAAGTAAGGGTTATAAAGTCATTTCCAAACTAACTTCGCTCCATCATTTACARAAAGATTCTTCACAAGACGAAAACATTTGGGACAGCTGCCAATCTTCAAGACAACCCAAAAAAATCGCCCCAAGCTTTAACTGTGTAATCCCCAAAGAAAATACAATAAACCAAAGAACTCTATTATAAATTCTACAGACCTCAGAGGGTAAATGTTTATGACTGAGACTTAATAAAAATAATGTACAAAAAGTGTTGCTAATTATTATTCAAGCATAGTGGTGGTTGTGGGGTCTGGGCTTGTCATGTAGCTGCAGGACCAGGGTAACTTGCAGTCAATGGGCCTCATGCAAGAACCGTTCGTACGCACAGATTTGTTCTTAAATTGTGCGTACGAGTGATTTAGGA